TGCGTTCTCACACACATTGCATTTCAGTCTGTTAGTACAATGTTTACTCAAATGCCTGGGGATAAACATCCAAAGCACAAAGATTTTAATTTGAGAAAGTCAAGCTTTTCAGGATATGGCTTATTCCGCAGTTTCTTACACATGTTCAAAACATGCTGTTCCCCACAAAAGGAACACACTGCTGTATTTATCCACTGTCTGCTAGGCACTTGGATGTCTCTATGTTTCATCTTGTCAACAATTGTTCTGTCTGGTGTTTCGATGTTAGTTGCAAAGTTACTGCCTCTGGTTCCTTTCATCTTGTCTTGTCTCTGTCTGTTAACTCGTGGTGGCACTTGTCTCCCATCCTCAATGTTACCGTACAATGGATCGGCCAATATCTGTGCCAACTAAATCTTGGAAAGTTACTTTTTGTCCCTTTTCCCCTGAATAGTGAACACAAGGCTACGCCATCTGTCCCGCATCTTGTAAGGCAATTTGGAAATGATAATTTTCATGTTTTGGGGGTGTTCTAGCTCCTTCAAATACTCAATATCTGCCATACTGTTGTAACACTCAAGCAGATACAATGAATATCTGTTCAGTTCATCACTGTCTTCAGCTTTTATATGCCCACTGTAGAGCTTTCTCTGTGTATGCTGTAGCTACTTTAAACTTATTTCCAAACTTGGTCTGAAGCAGCTGTTTAGCTTCGTCGTAGCCTTGCTCAGGCTCCATGTGAATACAGCTACGCACCAATTCCCCTGGCATTCCACTTGTATATTGTTCCAGATAATAAAGTCTATCTTTGAAACTGTCTGTCTTACTTTCTATGCAATGTTCAAATGCCATGATGAATGTCTTAAAATCCAAAGGATCTCTCTCTGAACACAGGAACTTTTACGCTCTGGTAATGTAGCTAATCGCTGATTCTCAATGACCATCTTCATCGCGGGCGATTTCAGTATTCTGTGGAACATCTTCAAACAATTGTGTCTGAGGCACAGTCGGTACACAAGTCTGGCTAGTGGGACATAGTACTGATGGAGGAATAGATTTACCACTCTTAAACATGTTCAACTGTTCGTTGCGATTCATTTTACTCACACTGTCTGTAATCTCCAATTCCTCAAGGGCTTCTACCTGAGCATTAGCAACTGCCAATTCTGTGTCTATCTCTAACTTTTCTTTCTTCTGTTTTAAATACTGTTCTTCCTCCTCCAAGGCATGTCTCTGCTGAAGACACTGTGAACGCGTGCCTTTAACTCTGCCAGCTTGGCTACCATCTTCATTCTTGTAGATGAAACACTACTCCTAACTGAATCTTTTGAACCCTGACCTGAAGATTTCTTGCTTTCAGACTTCTTTGACTGAGCGCTACTTGCTGCACTAGCCTTCTCAACCTTTTCAAGGCTCTGTGAATTGTCTTCTATCCACACTTCCATATCAGCCTTAAAACTACTGAAAACATACTGTCTTTTTAGCAAACCATGACTGAACATCTGCATCAACAACTTCTGGTGTAAGCATATCGCAATATGAATCATATGACTGAAGAAAAGCACTGTATTTATCCTTCCATCTATCATAATGTTCCTGGATATCTGACACTTCAACATTACTCTTCAGCAAATCTTCAATAATGCTCTTTTCTCTTGTTACATTCCAACAAAGTCTACACTTCTCTTCCTTCAATCTTTGTATTTTATACAAACGTCCTTTCTCTGACAAAGTCCTTGATCTGATTGACATATCGTCTTCCTTACATTCAATGTTCCTTTCTGGTAGAGCATATGCTCCTTTAGACGACATGTTGACACAAATTATCAGTCAACAATACAGTTATTCACAAAATGTCACTGTCCCATTCAAAATGTCTGCATAAAACTTTCAAACTTGTGCGCTGGGCGAGAGGCAATTTAAACTGGAAACGTGCTTGCCACTTTGTAAACAAACCTCTTGCCGTCACTTCCGTCAAAGGAACGAAATTCACGTCGCGGCGTGTGAAGATACAGAGGATATTCAACAATTCACTAAAAGTCACTTTAAGTCAATATTCCATAGCAATATCCTTTCTTCATTCAAAATAATCAACTGTCATTATAATATCCGAAGTTAGAATGCGAAATATCAAACTTAGCTGAATACCACGTGCACTGTCAAACTGCATGTGTAGTCCACACTCGCTGTCCAGGTTTTTCAACTTTGTCACCGCTGCAAATGTCTGTAGATATATATTAACAACTCCCACGGTTCCAACACAGCAAACTTTATTCTGTGTTTTATCTGTGTACACTGTTTTCTGCTACTTCAGCTGTTGCCGGTTGAAAAACCGTATTGCAACACTGAACTCCACACTGAAACTGTACAACATTGCATACTTCTGTTCCCAAGTTATCTCCCCTTTTTACAGTCATGTGACTTACCCTAGATCACATGATCTCAATCTAAATATAGCATTTGACCGCAACACTATGCATTTCTTTGCTTGACGGCTGTTATTTTCCTGGAAGGGAGTTCGAGATCGCCTCAAGTCGTCTACTTACAAAGTCAGCAAGACAGCAACTGCAGATACCAGATCAGTAGCCGAGTTCCGTGTCTTTTTCAGTTATTTCAAATCAGACAAACTGCGGAACACCGTAATAAGTTATAAAAGTCAACATTATCATAAAGACACGCCATCAGCCCAGTACTTACTATGTTTGCTGTGATGCAACACAACACATTATATAGCGCGAGTAAACACTGCCATCCGAAAATGTATAGTATGATGTCAGAAAACTCATAATAAAACGATCTTCATCGATTTCATTTTATTTGATTAAATTTAATCCCATTTTCATTTTCATTCATCAAAACTGTTTACAGTAACATCGGAGAAAAAGTGTGAGAAATGGCATCACCTCATTCTATATGCGTACCCCTTTCGCTTACCTTGTTCATAAGGGTCTACTTTTCACGCACCAATTTCACATTATTCTCAGCAATCACGAACAGATTACTGCCTCGTCATCCATGGACCCCAAGACCCACATTATTGACTCATTGAAGTCATATTTCACAATTAATTGCCAACGTTTTGTTTTGACAATCAAAGTGGCAGGTACCGCGGGAAGTCAACTGTGACTTGTCAAACTGTCTCCTACGTAAAATGTATCCACCCATGTAACCCAGAGTGCTGAACCTACGTTAACTATTATGTTAAACATATTCGTTGAAAAAATGCATAATACTAATACCACAGCGATATATATTATAGAATAACTGCTTGAGATATATATTATTCTGATAATGGAATAGAAATTCTTTGTGTTATATTTTCAGATCATTTTTAACAGAATCACTGTTAGATTGGAGAAAAACATTTGTACACAGCTGATTGATATTTCCGGCTTAGTTGAACAACAGGTAGCATAACAGGAAGGACAACTGAATTATTGTGTCTAGTGATGTTTAATTTGATTGCAGGTTTCCTATACACATATTTATTTTAATTTACAAAGTTTGTTTTTTCATCTCCGACGGTACGATACAGTTTTGACTGGGCACAATACATGAAATAGCAGTTCTGTTATATATTTGGAATATAAAGTTTACTTGGCCTCTATTCCGGGATATGTATAACGTTATTTTGTCTCATTACTCGGGGGGTCACCCATGGACCCCAAGACCGGGTTATGGCGGGGGATGACTGCAACTATGGGTATGGATCTGGTGGCTTTTTCGTCACAGTTCTTAGGACTTATGTTTGTTTGTTGTTGCTACCATCTCATTACAAGCTATATCAGAACAATGAACATTTAACGACTAATAAACAGCGAAATCAGCATCCTCAAGCTAAAACATATTTGTTTCAGAAAGGAGTAATACATTTCTGAGTGAACTTTAAAAGATATATTGAATGAATCTGAAAACTGAATAAAACAAATTTCTGGAATGTGCCAAGATTGTGTAGCAGTACTTCCCAAGTCTCTAAATGTTTAACTGATTAAAACGAGAGATAGACAATGATTTAGTGCAAGGACAATGATCAGTCACACAGACTGTAACTGTCTTATGGCAACTGTGTTGTGTTAATTTGTTTAATTTATTTGTCTATGATATGTCATCAACGGAGTCACATTAGACAAGATCTGATTTGTGTGTTGTTGTTTGTTTTGTTTTTTAAAGCATGAACATTTTCTGGGACGTGGTCATTTCACTGTAGTAAATGCTGATGTGATGTTAGTGACTTTTAATCATACTTGGCTACTTGCTATTTTGCCACACAGCAGCTGTGAGCTCCAAGGTTGCAGTGATACTTTAATTCTTCTGTCTGGTCATGAAACTGACAGTTTTGTACATTCAAAATAACAAAGATTATGGTTATTTTTTTCCATGTTATCAAACAATGTAAGGTTTGGCTCTTGTTGTCAATTTTCTGCATTATGATCATATTTCATATACCGAACCGAAACGGACAGAACCGAAAGCCTTGTAACGCAATACGTACCGTACCGTGGAAAGAGCGTACCGTTTCACCCATAGTTACTATATATCACTATGAACGACAGCCGATTGCAATAAGTATTGACACCAAGAAAAACAGACATTGAGATGTGTGCAGTAGGTTGGTGCTTATGGTATCTTTCTTACTTGACATTTTGTGAAAATACAATTTGGTATAAGTGGCATTAGTGACCTGGGTCTATTGATCTCAGTGCTGGACATTTAGATAGAGTGTACTTTACGTGTAATGCAGAGATTTGGAACATTTTTATCGGCAAGGCGTGGTATTGTGTGTACATCGAAAGTATCACTTCATGACGTCATATGAGACTTAATTTATGAGATAGTATGATAATTACCGCGATTCATGAATCAAGGTTATCAACGAATTCAGGTTACGGTTCTGTAGCACATGTTACATTAGACCACTTCTAAATGGCAATGTGTATTCAAAATAATCTCACTAAACTTTGCAATGAAAGTATCATTATCCCACTACTCATGAGATATATTTCCAAAGGCTCCAGACTTACCATTCCACAGAATGCCAGGGCAGCCTTGGACGGACTGAAGCAGCAGCAGGTGGGAGGGGCTTCACAGCACAGGATCCTGGAGTGGGATGGTCACTTTTATTACAGTATGACTGACTTACAGCAAACCATAGCTGACACAGTGATAACATATAGCAACCCTTATTGAACTGGAGCAGGATGGTCACTTTCATTACAGTATGACTGACTTACAGCAAACCATAGCTGACACAGTGATAACAGATAGCAACCCTTATTGAACTGGAGCAGGATGGTCACTTTCATTACAGTATGACTGACTTACAGCAAACCATAGCTGACACAGTGATAACAGATAGCAACCCTTATTGAACTGGAGCAGGATGGTCACTTTCATTACAGTATGACTGACTTACAGCAAACCATAGCTGACACAGTGATAACAGATAGCAACCCTTATTGAACTGGAGCAGGATGGTCACTTTCATTACAGTATGACTGACTTACAGCAAACCATAGCTGACACAGGATGATAACAGATATTAACCCTTATTGAACTGGAGCAGGATGGTCACTTTCATTACAGTATGACTGACTTACTGCAAAGCAAACCATAGCTGACACAGTGATAACAGATAGCAACCCTTATTGAACTGGAGCAGGATGGTCACTTTCATTACAGTATGACTGACTTACAGCAAACCATAGCTGACACAGTGATAACAGATAGCAACCCTTATTGAACTGGAGCAGGATGGTCACTTTCATTACAGTATGACTGACTTACAGCAAACCATAGCTGACACAGTGATAACAGATAGCAACCCTTATTGAACTGGAGCAGGATGGTCACTTTCATTACAGTATGACTGACTTACAGCAAACCATAGCTGACACATAGCAACAGTGATAACAGATAGCAACCCTTATTGAACTGGAGCAGGATGGTCACTTTCATTACAGTATGACTGACTTACAGCAAACCATAGCTGACACAGTGATAACAGATAGCAACCCTTATTGAACTGGAGCAGGATGGTCACTTTCATTACAGTATGACTGACTTACAGCAAACCATAGCTGACACAGTGATAACAGATAGCAACCCTTATTGAACTGGAGCAGGATGGTCACTTTCATTACAGTATGACTGACTTACAGCAAACAATAGCTGACACAGTGATAACAGATGGCAACCCTTATTGAACTGACTTACAGCAAACCATAGCTGACACAGTCATAACAGATAGCAACCCTTATTGAACTGGAGCAGGATGGTCACTTTCATTACAGTATGACTGACTTACAGCAAACCATAGCTGACACAGTGATAACAGATGTCAACCCTTATTGAACTGGAGCAGGATGGTCACTTTCATTACAGTATGACTGACTTACAGCAAACCATAGCTGACACAGTCATAACAGATGGCAACCCTTATTGAACTGGAGCAGGATGGTCACTCTCATTACAGTATGACTGACTTACAGCAAACCATAGCTGACACAGTGATAACAGATAGCAACCCTTATCGAAGCTCTGCAGTAATCAGTAGGGGGAAACAATAGGTTTAGGTAAAAAGTGCAACATCACAATCTTGGAGACTCTCTGATGTGGAACTTCACTTCAATATTTTGTATGAACCTAACACAAGTGAAACATATGGCCAACACTCAACACAATCAAATGTATGCTGTGACACTAATCAGCTGTCACAAACACAATGTGGTGTTTTCAAGTTCCATGTTATATCAGTATGGCTGCAAGTACCAGTGACTGCTACAATGTTAGTGTGTTCTGACATAACAACCAATCAGAGATTCTGTACGACTGAGTGATGGATATCTTAACCAATGTAAATTAGTCAGCATAGTCTTGAATGCTGTATACTATCAGTGCATTAACTGTTTGTTCTGCATGATATTCATACATGGAAATACTTGTGTACATAACGTGGAGACACGAGTGATAGTGTATACTTGGTCTCAAAATTTTGTATCTCTGAATGATGTAAATCATCAATATTGACAAGTGTTCACGAGCTGTTAATTGAATATAGTGAACCATAATGGAATACTAGTCTTCTGAACATGGACAGGGGTGTAAATCATTCCAAAATATTATGACTGAATACGATTCAAATGAAATTTGAAAATGAAAAAAGGACATTTGTTCAGACATAAGCTCACCTGTGAGGATATGTGAGATCGTTGATGTTCCAGACACAGGCGAGTCCATGGCTGTCTACTGGGTTGTCGGGGGACGGCTACAACACACGCCAGTTGTTACATGATGACGATGTCAACATTGTAGGACAACAAACAATAACATGAAGCAAGTTGTAGCACTCTAGGTCCAACACTCCGTCAACACTCATTGACGGCTACAACACACGCCAGTTGTTACATGAGGATGACGATGTCAACATTGTAGGACAACAAACAATAACATGAAGCAAGTTGTAGCACTCTAGGTCCAACACTCCGTCAACACTCATTGACGGCTACAACACACGCCAGTTGTTACATGAGGATGACGATGTCAACATTGTAGGACAACTAACAATAACATGAAGCAAGTTGTAGCACTCTAGGTCCAACTCTCCGTCAACACTCATTGACGGCTACAACACACCAGTTGTTACATGAGACCATACCATAATGACTTGACTTTACAGTTCTGCAGCTAGAAGAAGCCTCACCTCAGCAGGGTTGCTGAATACTGTTAAAAGCATGTGTTGCTGGTTGGGACAGAAGCAGGCTTGTGTCACATGGCGTCCTGCAACACATGGTAACAAGGTAAATGTAGCTAGCTGTCTTATAACTACTGCCTCTTGCCTCCATTCAGCTTATTTAACTACTTACTGTCTTATCTTCTGATATCACTACAACATATAACACAATTCACAAATGCATCATAGTCCTATCAGATGGGTAGTCATGCACATGGAAATTTACACATGACAATTTATATGTCCATTTGTCAATCAACAGCTAACTCAATGTGCCTTCATGTCCTCGGTGACAGTATGTCTTGCTTCAAGAAAGGACATTCACCAACCTTCCATAAACTTGAGTTCACCTAGTTGTGTGAAGCCGTCACTGAACCCCACGTTGGACTTTGTGTTGTCAAGGTTGTGTCTGTCTCCACCGTCTCTCTCCTCATCGAGCAGGAACCCCACAGTCTGCAGACACACACTCAATATACTGGACAACCTCCTCATACAGAACCCCACAGTCTGCAGACTAACTCAATATACAGGACAACCTACTCATACAGGACCCAATTGTCTGCACACACTCAATATACTGGACAACCTCCTCATAAAGGACCCCACACTCTGCAGACACACTCAATATAATGGACAACCTCCTCATACATAACTCCATTGTCTGCACACACTCTATACTGGACAACACATTACTCAATATACTGGACAACCTCTTCATACAGAACTCACAGTCTGCAGACACACTCAATATACTGGACAACCTCATCATACAGGACAAAATACTGGACACACACTCCTCATATAGAACAACCTACAGTCAGCAGACTCACTCAACTATACTGGACAACCTCCTCACACAGAACCCAATTGCAGACACACTGACAACACACTCAATACAGAACCCCACAGGACAACTAATATACAGGACAACCTACTCATACAGAACTCAATTGTCTCCAATACTCAATATACTTGACAACCTCAATAAAACAACCTCTTCATTACTGGACAACCTCCTCATACAGAACCCCACAGTGTGCAGACACACACTCAATATACTGGACAACCTCCTCATACAGAACCCCACAGTCTGCAGACACACTCAATATACTGGACAACCTCCTCATACAGAACCCCACAGTCTGCAGACACACACTCAATATACTGGACAACCTCATCATACAGTCTGCAGACACACACTCAATATACTGGACAACCTCCTCATACAGAACCCCACAGTCTGCAGACACAAACACAATATACTGGACAACCACATACAGAACCCCAGTCTGCACACACAAACACTCTTAATATACTGGACAACCTCATACAGAACCCCACAGTCTGCAGACACACACTCAATATACTGGACAACCTCATCATACAGGACCCCACAGTCTGCAGACACACTCATTATACTGGACAACCTCCTCATACAGAAACCCCCAGTCTGCAGACACACACTCAATATACTGGACAACCTTCTCATACAAAACCCCACAGTGTGCAGACACACACTCAATATACTGGACATCCTCCTCATACAGAACCCCACAGTCTGTAGACACACTCAATATACTGGACAACCTACTCATACAGAACCCCACAGTCTGCAGACACACACTCAATATACTGGACAACTTCATCATACAGAACCCCCAGTCTGCAGACACACTCAATATACTGGACAACCTCATCATATATCATATACATCCACACATATGTCAGTGGGGAAGGAAACCTGAAGTAATTAAGTGTAAACTGGGATTGACCACATTGGTGAACCCATGAGAATAGTTCTGCTAAAAGGGCAACAATCAGACATGGAAACATAGTTTAACATTAACTGTAGCTATCCAGGACTGACTCTCCAGTGTCAGACAGCGCCCTATGTATCAGGAATGTAACAAAAGAATGTGCTGAGGTGTGACTTTCAAACAATGAAGCTGTCGGGATTGGTGTAATAATGGCAAAGCCACTGATCACAATACCTGTCCAATCTTCTCCACAAACTTGGCCAGTTTCACTGTGTCTCCGTGACGACTGATAATTTGATTATCATTTGCTGCTTCTGGATCAATACCATCACCTAGGAGATGGGAAATTGATATACATTTTGCCTACACTCAGGAAACAAGTCAAATACATGTGAACAATTTATACAAACCTGTAGAGGTTATGAATTCTTTGAAGAAAGTCCTCCTTGGGGTACATATAAGCATGAAAATGTCCATTTTAAATCCTACGACAGTTGTAACTATATTTTTCAGTAAATTATTTACAAAACAAAAAACTTGTTTTGTCTTGTGAGACCACCCCTACAGGGCCCCAATGGACCCCCTACAGCCAAGAGCAGGTAACTCTCGCCGTCTACCTCATACCTCAATTTTCATGCTGAACGTATCAGACAGAATGAGTGTATGGGTGTAGCCTGGCAATGCAGGGTTCCCCTGGTGTACACGGGTAGACCTCGGAGCGTCGGGGTGATTGCCAGCTCGGTAGCTCCGTCACACTCAACAGCCTCCTGGCCTGGGCGTCGATAGACATCAGGCCGAGACCTGGGGCCAAAGCCCGGGTCGGTGCTAGTCCCCAGGTTCAGAGCGTCCCCAGAGCCGAAGCTCGGGTCCGATCATCCCCGGGATCTCCCCCAAATGATGCGCCGGTGTAATCTCTACCCGTAGACCGGGTACCAAACTCCTCTCGGAGTCTGGAAACCACGTCTGAGATAAGAGCGTGCACCGACGATCTCCGCTGCTGCTATAAGTAAGAAATCAATCGTTAGTGTAGCAACATTGTTTGTGGGGGAGGACTAGGCGGGGGGACAATAAGAGATTTCCTTAGAAACCTTTCATCAAAAATTATCCCCACCCCCTGAAGCAGATTAGTGAAAAACATCAAATCTGCGTGCCTGAAAGAATGCGCGTGTGGCGCAGAAACCCAGGCAAAGAACACAACCTCGGCCACTATGAGCCACGTTGTGTGTAAATGTATGAAATGTGTATATGTGTAACATAACACAACATAACGTAACAGGAATATTGACGCAAGGGCTCTTATTATGAACATCCTTGATCGTCATGAGCATCCTCAGCTAAACACCGGAGGCACACTTTATGACCATCCTGTGGCGGTAGTGTGCACGGCACAACGCACAGGGCTTTAACTGCAACAAACAGCACCACACCAGTGTTACTAGCAGGAACTGTGAAGCAGCAAACATATAAACACAAGTAAATAGCAATAAATAAAACGCACGGGCCATATTTAAATGCTACAAGCTACAGCCATTTAAATACTAAACATACAATGCAAAGCAGAAAAAAGGCTAGCCACACCTGCGTGTACTAGTGAGTCAAGTTGAGTGATACGAAACGAACACACTATCAAAATTACTCAACAACGACTTAACAAAAATTCGCTGAAAAGAGAGAGAATTTAGGCAAGCCTACCATATAATATGCGAATATAATATATGAACTCCCTACTACAAGCTACCAAGAACATGTAGCAAGGAAAACATGATCGCGTGGTCCACCATTTTGCCTGCCACAAGGCTGGAAAACAGAGAACCCACAGCAAAGTTACAACAAAAGATGAATGAGAATATCAACATATGAAGTCCATCTAACGCCCATGCGTAAAGAGAGGAACCATACATACAGATTGAGACTCTTTTACACTCATCGTATCGGTAGGAGAGCAAACTCGAAACGAACACCACGCACGTCTATTCAACAGAACGACAGCATGAAAAGTGAGGTACGAGGTAGACGGCAAGAGTTACCTGCTCTTGGCTGTAGGGGGTCCGGTGGGGCCCTGTAGAGGTGGTCTCACAAGACAAAACAAGTTTTTTGCTTTGTAAATATTTCATTGAAAAATATAGTTACAACTGTCGTAGGATTTAAAATGGACATTTTCATGCTTATATGTACCCCAAGGAGGACTTCTGAAAAAGAATGTTAAAATCACTGATTCTGAGATGTTTACCCTGCAGATCTCTATTAAGGTGACTCGTAAATAATCAACACAGATAAACAAGTATATATATGATAAACAACATTCTCGGACAACAGAGTAGAGTGACACATAAGATCACTGCAAACCTATTCCAGCTCAGAATTCATGTCAGAGCCTTCCCATGCAGCATCAGGAACTAGTGTCCACAAAACCACAATGATAATTGTGCAAGGGAACAAAATTGCCAACCTCCAACACCCAGCAAGTCTTCCGAGGGATGCTGTGTCCATTTTTCTTTGGTGTCAATATCATCTGTCTGGATGTCTCTGTCGATGTTGTCCTCGTTGGTCTGAATGTAGGCCTGAATGACAGAAGCATGGCCATCACCACAGGTTGACACAACAAATGTACACATCAGACACACAAGGATAAACTACAGGGTATAAGGTGATCGTTAACTCCCATACCTGAACAAGGACTTGCGCTAAGATCATAGCGTTAAGTCCCAGTGTATATACCTTAACTTTTACCCATAATCCTGTATGTTATGTTGGTAATATGGCCTACCTGTTTAGTGTTGGAGCGACCAAAGCTGCGTATGTACATCTCATATTCCCTGACAGGGGGCAGGTCAAACATATCGTATCGAGCAACATCCAACTCAATCATCTTCTGAAGGTCTGTGCCTCTCTTCCTGGTGCGACTTGCGGTCGTGGAGTTCAGGGCCACCTGCTTGGCCGACACGAAGTCAATAAACGTTCGTCCCCGGTTAACTTTAGGTGCTGGTTCCTTGTACCGGTCCTCGGACGCATCAGTCTGACACAGAGAGAAGACACAGTATCAGTATTTATCATAGAAACAGACATCTCATTTGCTGGTCCTAATGTCATACTGTTACGCTGTCATCTCTTTACTACTCGACAACTCACAATAGCGCACACATCCGTTGAGTTCATAAAGTTCTATAAGTCCCAGAACACGGCTCTATTATCACTATGGGCAGTTTGTTTCCTGCCTCAGTAGTTGACCTATTTCACCACAGCTAGCATGTAAGTCCAGGATACCATGAACACATGGAGCCTTATCACCTGATTCTAGTCAACCCATTTAGCAAGTATGTACAACTGTACACAACTACTGTTCCCTTGTGTGTGTCAACCTGAGCAGAGAACACAAATACATTTGTACTTTCTACTCATGTTGTTATAAACATGCACTGTGCTCAACTCTTAAGACAAACATTCATTCTAAAAAAGCTGCAACAAAACTTATGAATTTTGGTCATCAACTTCTCCACTCTCTGCCATACAAGGAATCAGTGAGTCAGCGGGAGATCTGTAGCCATGTCACTTGTCTGAGGTTCACGTGTACACAGTGACCAGCAGCAACTATGAACATCTAACGACATAGATCTGCATGGAGGGGCAGCATTTGAAAGAATTCAAGCCAGAAGTAAATCAATGAAACTTATGCTGAACATTTACTTTACAAAGAACCCTGCTTATGAACAATAACTGGTCCTTCTTGGTCCCATGGCAAGGTTAAAGGCAAGACTACAAGCTGGTGCCATACTTACCGAGTCTGACCGACTACTGTGTCTAGAACCATTAGCAAGCCGTGTGTTTTCCTCGTCCATGGCCTTCAGCAGCTGATCCATCTCACTGCCCGGCTAAACAGACAAACACACACACATCACCACACTGTACAACAACATCGGACTACCTCTGAAAACAGCTGGCAGGGAACATAACACAGTTGTTGAAATTTGGTGGCTAGGTGGGACGTTTCATCAAGATCATTCCTTGACTACAAACATGCCGACTTCTAGACCAACTCATGTTTCCATAGCATGTGTGACTTAATTTTGTTTGGGAATACAAGAAAACATTTTCAAACTGGTGTCCGTGATGAACTTAAGAGCACGCCATTATGAAGATGTCACATTGGAAGCTTACACATACAATACGAACAGCCTTTGTTTAACACAATCTGACCTAACAAAACCTCCGTCTAACAGTATTATGTGTTACTATTTCTTCTTTACAATATCAACTAGGTAGATATATGTACATAGAACATAGCTCAAGAAACTTCTTTGAGAGGCATTTAGGCAGTGAGTGTTGTTTGATGCAGATCAAACTGACTGATATTGTCAGCAACATCCACACTCTCAGGGTATGATGACATGCTGGCAACCTTGTCACAAAGTCTCCACATCTGATCCATCAGTTCGCCTCCTGGAACCAGCATATCATCTACCATAGAATCTCAAGGGCAGGACTGATGTTGAATTCTTTCAGGGTGTGACAGATGGATAATCACAGGTGCTGATGCAGAATCCCAAGGAGGTGACACTGATGCAGAATCCCAAGGAGGTGGGACTGATGCAGAATTCCATCAAGTTGGGACTGATGCAGAATCCCATCAAGGTGGGACTGATGCAGAATCCCATCAAGGTGGGACTGATGCAGAATCCCATCAAGGTGGGACTGATGCAGAATCCCATCAAGGTGGGACTGATGCAGAATCCCATCAAGGTGGGACTGATGCAGAATCCCATCAAGGTGGGACTGATGCAGAATCCCATCAAGGTGGGACTGGTGCAGAATCCCATCAAAGTGGGACTGATGCAGAATCCCATCAAGGTGGGACTGATGCAGAATCCCATCAGGGTGGGACTGATGCAGAATCCCATCAAGTTGGGACTGATGCAGAATCCCATCAAGTTGGGACTGATGCAGAATCCCATCAGGGTAGGACAGATACAGAATCCCAATCATGGAAGAATTGATGTAGAATCCCCACAAGTGAAGTTTGCCCAAATATGACATATATTAAATAGATATTTAGGTGTCAGTGATACACTGACTGACTGACTGAGTTTGGTTTTACGCCGCTTTTAGCAATATTCCAGCAATATCACGGCGGGGGACACCAGAAATGGGCTTCACTCATTGTACCCATGTGGGGATTCGAACCCGGGTCTTCGGCGTGTGTCAGTGATACATGTTAATATCAAACAATACATGAGACAATATTTATACTGAAAACTGGATTAAGAACGATACAATTGTAATGTGCAGTCCAACATTGTGAAAACATCACACAGATGACTTGGTTAAACATAAATCTGTGGAAACACAGAACAGCCACACAGGCAATAATTACAATAATCTGACGAATGTGCCCCAGTGTCGACTCTGCTTCTGCTGGTTCATCCTGAGATGAAAATGATCATCTTGGTGATAGATTTGCTTGTTTGTTTATGCCACATTCAACATTAGTCCCGCTAACCAGTAATCTTTCCACACAACATGTATGCACAATCAAGACAAATTACATTAAAATAAATCACTGGAAATGTCACAAATACCAAATGAGTTAGAAAATCCCGCACCCTAAAACAACTGACACCTCCAGTCCCCAGTCCCACATATTGCTACAGACAACAGCCACACACAGCCGAGTCTCACCTTCCTGTACATCTTTCTCATAGCATGGGGTCTATACTGAGAGACAAAACTGACACATGTCAATTGCATGTCCACATTTGACATGTTAAAAATCCTTCAGTTATTGCCTATCTCTGCCACACCATAAGTATAAACGCCTACCTTGAACAAACCCCAGGTTGAATATCACAAGACAAAAGAATTCTGAAATATGTGTATGAAAAACACTATTCCTAGCCTAAGGTCCTTATTAAAAAAAATCAAATATGGCAGTTGTTCAAGGATTTAGAGTCATCACAACTTCTACCTGATACATCATCAGTGTGTGTCTACATGTGTGGTAAACAACTTCACTACAGGCTTTTCTCCGAAATCAAGATGACACAGTGGTTTTACGCCATTTCTAGCAATATTCCAGCCATATCACAGCTGTTACAAGCATCGTTAGCCCAACTCACTTATAACAACTTGCTATCAATCCAAATGAACAGTATCACAGTTACTAAAGTGTCGTTAAGTTCATCAGGTAGTGATGCACCAATATGGTAAACGTAGAAACAAGATCAACATAAATAACATTACCTGGTAACAGAAACCAAAATATTTGCTTTACCTGCTGAGGTCTTTCATCATCACCGTCATCATCATCTGGCTCGAAGTCATCATCATAGTCCTAGGAACAACAACATCACATCATCATTCAACTGAAGATACAGTGGCACTCCAACACTTGAGGGAGGACACATATGACATCATCCTTCAACTGAAGATACAGTGGCACTCTAACACTTGAGGGAGGACACGTATGACATCATCCTTACAGACATACTGGAAATGCTGACAATAAAGTATGTAAACATGACCCGGTGGTTCCGCCATGATTATGCTGGAGTGATGTCTGTCACTTATACACACTGTATGCAGACACAAATGCAGATCCATACAAACAAGAAGAGGACTGTTTCACTCAGCAGTCACCAATGTTGCAAACATATAGCTGCAGCCTGTAATAGTCTGGACCACGGGCTGCAGCATTATGAACTATCGGCACACTACTCACATCAACGCCATTAGACACAGTGATACAGCCAGCTCACACTACTCCCATCAACACCATCAGACACAGTGATACAGCCAGCTCACACTACTCACATCAACGCCATTAGACACAGTGATACAGCCAGCTCACACTACTCACATCAACGCCATCAGACACAGTGATACAGCCAGCTCACACTACTCCCATCAACGCCATTAGACACAGTGATACAGCCAGCTCACACTACTCCCATCAACACCATCAGACACAGTGATACAGCCAGCTCACACTACTCCCATCGACACCATTAGACACAGTGATACAGCCAGCTCACACTACTCCCATCAACACCATCAGACACAGTGATACAGCCAGCTCACACTACTCACATCAACGCCATTAGACACAGTGATACAGCCAGCTCACACTACTCCCATCAACGCCATTAGACACAGTGATACAGCCAGCTCACACTACTCACATCAACACCATCAGACACAGTGATACAGCCAGCTCACACTACTCACATCAACGCCATCAGACACAGTGATACAGCCAGCTCACACTACTCCCATCAACGCCATTAGACACAGTGATACAGCCAGCTCACACTACTCACATCAACACCATCAGACACAGTGATACAGCCAGCTCACACTACTCCCATCAACGCCATTAGACACAGTGATACAGCCAGCTCACACTACTCCCATCGGCACCATCAGACACAGTGATACAGCCAGCTCACACTACTCACATCAACGCCATCAGACACAGTGATACAGCCAGCTCACACTACTCACATCAACGCCATTAGACACAGTGATACAGCCAGCTCACACTACTCCCATCAACGCCATTAGACACAGTGATACAGCCAGCTCACACTACTCCCATCGACACCATTAGACACAGTGATACAGCCAGCTCACACTACTCACATCAACACCATCAGACACAGTGATACAGCCAGCTCACACTACTCACATCAGCGCATTAGACAGTGATACAGCCAGCTCACACTACTCCCATCAACGCCATTAGACACAGTGATACAGCCAGCTCACACTACTCACATCAACACCATCAGACACAATGATACAGCCAGCTCACACTACTCACATCAACGCCATTAGACACAGTGATACAGCCAGCTCACACTACTCCCATCAACGCCATTAGACACAGTGATACAGCCAGCTCACACTACTCCCATCAGACACAGTGATGCAGCCAGCTCACACTACTCACATCAACCATTAGACACAGTGATACAGCCAGCTCACACTACTCCCATCAACGCCATTAGACACAGTGATACAGCCAGCTCACACTACTCACATCAACGCCATTAGACACAGTGATACAGCCAGCTCACACTACTCACATCAACACCATTAGACACAGTGATACAGCCAGCTCACACTACTCACATCAACGCCATTAGACACAGTGATACAGCCAGCTCACTACTCCCATCAACCATTAGACACGGTGATACAGCCAGCTCACACTACTCACATCAACGCCATTAGACACAGTGATACAGCCAGCTCACACTACTCACATCAACACCATCAGACACAGTGATACAGCAAGCTCACACTACTCCCATCGGCACCATCAGACACAGTGATACAGCCAGCTCACACTACTCACATCAACGCCATTGGACACAGTGATACAGCCAGCTCACACTACTCACATCAGCATGCATTAGACACGGTGATACAGCCGGCTCACACTACTCCCATCAGCAGCCATTAGACACGGTGATACAGCCAGCTCACACTACTCCCATCGACGCCATTAGGACACGGTGATGCAGCCAGCTCACACTACTCCATCAACACCATCAGACACGGTGATACAGCCAGCTCACACTACTCACATCAGCGCCATTGGACACGGTGATGCAGCCAGCTCACTGCTCCCCATCAGCGCCATTAGACACGGTGATACAGCCAGCTCACACTACTCATCAGCACCATCAGACTACGGTGATACAGCCAGCTCACTGCTTCATCAGCAACACCATTAGACACGGTGATACGGCCAGCGCGCACTACTCCCATCAGCGCCATTAGACACGGTGATGCAGCCGGCTCACTACTCCCATCATTGGCACAGTGATGCGGCCAGCTCACACTACTCACATCAGCAGCCATTAGACACGGTGTTACAGCCAGCTCACACTACTCCCTATCCAGCATGCGTATTAGACACAGTGATGCAGCCAGCTCACACTGCTCCACATCAGCCATTGGACGCAGTGATGCAGCCGAGCTCACACTACTCACATCAACACCATTAGACTCATTGATGCAGCCAGCACACTACTCACATCAACTTTATTAGACACGGTGATGCAGCCAGCTCACACTACTCCCATCAAGCGCCATTAGACACAGTGATACAATAGCTCACACTACTCCATCAGCTTCGTTAGACACGGTGATGCAGCCGGCTCGCTACTCACATCAACACCATCAGACGGTGTACAGCCAGCTCACACTCATCTCCCATCGGCACCATCAGACACGAGTGATTACACGAAAGCTCACTCTTCTCACATCAAAGCCATTAGACACAGTGATGCAGCCAGCTCACACTACTCACATCAACGCATTGGACACGGTGATGCAATGGCTCACACTACTCCCATCAAACGCATTAGACACGGTGATGCAGCCAGCTCACACGGTACTGACCATCGACACCACCGTTGGACACGGTGATTCACAGCCGGCTCACTACTCACATCAGCGCCATTAGACATACGGTGATACAGCCAAGCTCACACTACTCCCCATCAGCATGCATTAGACACGGTGATACAGCCAGCTCACACTACTCCCATCACGCGTGGACACATTGATCGACAGCCAATGGCTCACACTACTCACATCAACACCATCAGACCTTACGGTGATACAGCCAGCTCGCACTACTCGCATCAAGCCATTAGACACGGTGATTACAGCCAATCTCACACTACTCCCATCAAGCGCCATTAGACACGGTGGATGCAACCAGCTCACACTACCCGTCAGGCGCCATCAGGACACGGTGATGCAGCCAGCTCAATACTACTCATCAGCCATTAGACACGGTGATGCAGCCGAACTCACACTACTCCATCAACGCCATTAGACACGGTGATGCAGCCGGCTCACTACATCGTCGGCCATTGGACACGGTGATTGCAATGGCCAGCTTCCACTACTCACATCACTACACCATTAGACACGGTGATGCAACCACTCTCTACTCACATCCAGCCATTGAGACACAGTGATACAGCCAGCTCACACTACTCACCATCAAGCATCATTAGACACGGTGATACAGCCGGCTCACACTACTCACATCAACCATTAGACACAGTGATGCAATACAGGCTCCACACTACTCACATCAACAGCCATCAGACACAGTGATACAGCCGGCTCACACTACTCCCATCAGCCATTAGACACAGTGATACAGCCAGCTCACACTACTCACATCAACACCATCAGACACAGTGATGCAATGGCTCACACTACTCCCATCAACGCCATTAGACACAGTTGATACAGCCAGCTCACTACTCCCATCAACCCATTAGACACAGTGATACGGCCAGCTCACACTATCCCATCGACGCCATTGGGCACGGTGATACAGCCAGCTCACACTGCTCCACCATCAGCCATTGGGCACACGGTGATTACAGCCAGCTCACACTACTCCCATCAAACACCATTAGACACAGTGATGCAGCCAGCTCACTACTACTCATCAACGCCATTAGACACAGTGATACAGCCAGCTCACACTACTCCCATCAAGCGCCATTAGACACAGTGATGCAACCAGCTCACACTCCCATCAGCCATTAGACACAGTGATACAGCCGGCTCACACTACTCCTCATCAACGCCATCAGACACAGTTGATACAGCCAGCTCACTACTCCATCAACGCCATTGGAACACAGTGATACAGCCAGCTCACACTACTCACATCAACACCATTAGACACAGTGATACAGCCAGCTCACACTACTCCCATCAACACCATTAGACACAGTGATACAGCCAGCTCACACTACTCACATCAACGCCATTAGACACAGTGATACAGCCAGCTCACACTACTCACCGTATCAGCAATTGATACGTATTTAGACACAGTGATACAGCCAGCTCACACTACTCACATCAACACCATTAGACACAGTGATACAGCCAGCTCACACTACTCACATCAACGCCATCAGACACAGTGATACAGCCAGCTCACACTACTCACATCAACGCCATTAGACACAGTGATACAGCCAGCTCACACTACTCACATCAACACCATTAGACACAGTGATACAGCCAGCTCACACTACTCCCATCAACACCATTAGACACAGTGATACAGCCAGCTCACACTACTCACATCAACGCCATTAGATTACGGTGATACAGCCAGCTCACATCTACTCACATCAACAGCCGGCTTATCACATCAGTGATACAGCCAGCTCACACTACTCCATCAACGCCATTAGACACAGTGATACAGCCAGCTCACACTACTCACATCAACACCATCAGACACAGTGATACAGCCAGCTCACACTACTCCCATCAACGCCATTAGACACAGTGATACAGCCAGCTCACACTACTCACATCAACACCATCAGACACAGTGATACAGCCAGCTCACACTACTCACATCAACGCCATTAGACACAGTGATACAGCCAGCTCACACTACTCCCATCAGCACCATTAGACACAGTGATACAGCCAGCTCACACTACTCACATCAACGCCATTAGACACAGTGATACAGCCAGCTCACACTACTCCCATCAACGCCATTAGACACAGTGATACAGCCAGCTCACACTACTCACATCAACGCCATTAGACACACAGTGATACAGCCAGCTCACACTACTCCATCAACGCCATTAGACACAGTGATACAGCCAGCTCACACTACTCCCATCAACACCATCAGACACAGTGATACAGCCAGCTCACACTACTCACATCAACGCCATTAGACACAGTGATACAGCCAGCTCACACTACTCCCATCAGACACAGTGATACAGCCAGCTCACACTACTCCCATCAGACACAGTGATGCAGCCAGCTCACACTACTCCCATCGACACCATCAGACACAGTGATGCAGCCAGCTCACACTACTCCCATCGACACCATCAGACACAGTGATACAGCCAGCTCACACTACTCCCATCGACACCATCAGACACAGTGATGCAGCCAGCTCACACTACTCCCATCGACACCATCAGACACAGTGATGCAGCCAGCTCACACTACTCCCATCGGCACCATCGGACACAGTGATGCAGCCAGCTCACACTACTCCCATCGGACACAGTGATACAGCCAGCTCACACTACTCCCATCGACACCATCAGACACAGTGATGCAGCCAGCTCACACTACTCCCATCGACACCATCAGACACAGTGATGCAGCCAGCTCACACTACTCCCATCGGCACCATCGGACACAGTGATGCAGCCAGCTCACACTACTCCCATCGACACCATCGGACACAGTGATACAGCCAGCTCACACTACTCCCATCGACACCATCAGACACAGTGATGCAGCCAGCTCACACTACTCCCATCGGACACAGTGATACAGCCAGCTCACACTACTCCCATCGGCACCATCAGATACAGTGATGCAGCCAGCTCACACTACTCCCATCAGACACAGTGATGCAGCCAGCTCACACTACTCCCATCAGACACAGTGATGCAGCCAGCTCACACTACTCCCATCAGACACAGTGATGCAGCCAGCTCACACTACTCCCATAGACACCATCGGACACAGTGATACAGCCAGCTCACACTACTTCTATGGACACCATCAGACACAGTGATGCAGCCATAATACTCCCTATAATAACTGTCTGCAAAGTAAGTGTGGACCTGAAGACCTGACCTGGTGCTGCTGATCTACAGATAAATAGATACTGTAAACAAACCTCAAACTCTTCCTCATCATAGTTGTAGTCGTCACCATCTTCTTCCTGCTCCGACTCTGGGTCCTGAACCTTGCTTCGACTCGCTGGCTCACTCTGGGGAGGATGAGACACATTGTCCATGTATATCAACCTGGTTTACACATATGACAGATTGACAAGACAACCAAGTGTCTGATATTATACCATCAGGAACACCGTCAATGCCGTCAAGTCTCACAGCTTGATCACACTGTTTAGTTGCCTCCTCGGACAAGAATCTGGATCCGTTGTAATTCAACCGATACATGCATCCTGCTGACTGCCTACCACTGTGCCTACTTGGTCAGTCTTCTTTAAGATGAATGTTTATTCTGTGTGAGTACTAAGTCAATACATATGGGTTTCGTGCAGCCAACATTACTCTCTTAAAACTGTTTCAGACATAATGATAAAAGGTAATGTGAGAATTCATGCAGACAAAATCAATTATTGCATCTTGTGACTCGGAACACATTCCTGTAACTAAACTTACTCTTATTACTAACAGTGTCAAATGTCAAGATGTTTGCGTGCTCAGTGGATGCATAAATCTCTCACCCCAATGTGTAACACCACATAGCATTCACCAAATCATTGGTCTCTCTGACTACCAATGCCTTGGTGTGCTTGTCAACAACGGAGTGCCAACAGTCATGCTCACAATAACAAACTCATGCACTTCATAATGTAAATGACAATTAGGCAGGGGTTGTACTGGTGGAGATAAAGGTGGGGCAGGGGTTGTACTGGTAGGTGGGGTAGCGCTGTACTGGTAGATATACAGGAGGGGCAGGGGCTGTACTGGTAGTAGAGTAGACAGGAGGGGCAGGGGCTGTACTGAGTAGATATACAGGAGGGGGCAGGGGCTGTACTGGTAGGTGGGGGAGGGCAGCTGTACTGAGTAGATATACAGGGAGGGGCAGGGGCTGTACTGGTAGAAAGAAAGCAGGAGGGGGCAGGGGGCTGTACTGGTGGGGCAGGGGCTGTACTGAGTAGGTGGGGCAGGGTGGGGCAGTGGCTGTAGTAGTAAGTACAGGAGGGGCAGGGGCTGTACTGGTAGATAGACAGGTGGGGCAGGGGCTGTACTGGTAAGTAGACAGGTGGGGCAGGGGCTGTACTGGTAGATAGACAGGTGGGGCAGGGGCTGTACTGGTAAGTAGACAGGAGGGGCAGGGGCTGTACTGAGTAAAGTAGACAGGAGGGGCAGGGGCTGTACTGGTAGATAGATGAACAGGAGGGCAGGGGCTGTACTGGTAGATAGAACAGGAGGGGCAGGGGCTGTACTGAGTAGAAGTGAACAGGAGGGGCAGGGGCTGTACTGAGTAGATAGACAGGAGGGGCAGGGGCTGTACTGGTAAGTGAACAGGAGGGGCAGGGGGCTGTACTGGTAGATGAACAGGTGGGGCAGGGGCTGTACTGGTAGAAGAAGTAGACAGGAGGGGCAGGGGCTGTACTGGTAGATAGACAGGAGGGGCAGGGGCTGTACTGGTAAGATAGACAGGAGGGGCAGGGGCTGTACTGGTAAGTAGGAGGGGCAGGACAAGGTGGAGGGGGGGGCTGTACTGAGTAGAAAGAAGTAGACAGGAGGGGGCAGGGGCTGTACTGAGTAGATAGACAGGTGGGGCAGGGGCTGTACTGGTAGAGTAGACAGGAGGGGCAGGGGCTGTACTGGTAGATAGACAGGAGGGGCAGGGGCTGTACTGGTAAGTAGACAGGAGGGGCAGGGGCTGTACTGGTAAGTAGACAGGTGGGGCAGGGGCTGTACTGGTAGATAGACAGGAGGGGCAGGGGGGGCTGTACTGGTAGATAGACAGGAGGGGCAGGGGCTGTACTGGTAGAAGTAGACAGGAGGGGCAGGGCACTGTACTGAGTAGATAGACAGGAGGGGCAGGGGCTGTACTGGTGGGTGGGGTGGTGGGGCATGGGGCTGTACTGAGTGAATAGACAGGTGGGGCAGGGGGCTGTACTGGTAAGTAGACAGGAGGGGCAGGGGCTGTACTGGTAGATAGACAGGTGGGGCAGGGGCTGTACTGGTGAATAGACAGGAGGGGCAGGGGCTGTACTGAGTAGAAGTAACAGGAGATTAGGGCAGGGGCTGTACTGAGTAGAAGACAGGTGGGAGTACTGTACTGGTGGGACAGGTAGGGCAGGGGCTGTACTGAGTAAGAAATGAGACAGGAGGGGCAGGGGCTGTACTGGTAGAAGAAAGTAGACAGGTGGGGCAGGGGCTGTACTGAGTAGAGATGAACAGGAGGGGGCAGGGGCTGTACTGAGTAGAAGTAGACAGGAGGGGCAGGGGCTGTACTGAGTAGATAGACAGGAGGGGCAGGGGCTGTACTGGTAAGGTGACAGGAGGGGCAGGGGGCTGTACTGAGTAGTAGATAGACAGGAGGGGCAGGGGGCTGTACTGAGTAGATGTGAGACAGGAGGGGCAGGGGCTGTACTGAGTAGATAGACAGGTGGGGCAGGGGCTGTACTGGTAGATGTGGGACAGGAGGGCAGGGGGCTGTACTGGTGGATAGACAGGAGGGAGCAGGGGGCTGTACTAGGTAAGATGGACAGGAAGGGCAGGGGGCTAGTACTGGTGTGGATAGACAGGAGGGGCAGGGGCTGTACTAGTAGAAGTAAATGAACAGGAGGGGGGAGCTGTACTGAGTAAGTAGACAGGAGGGGCAGGGGGCTGTACTGAGTAAGAAGTAGACAGGAGGGAGCAGGGGCTGTACTGGAAAAATGAGACAGGAGGGGCAGGGGCTGTACTGGTAAGAAGTAGACAGGTGGGGCAGGGGGCTGTACTAGTAGAACAAAGACAGGAGGGGCAGGGGCTGTACTGAGTAAAAGTAGACAGGAGGGGCAGGGGCTGTACTGAGTAAGATAGAACAGGAGGGCAGGGGCTGTACTGAGTAGAAGTAGACACAGGTGGGGCAGGGCTGTACTACTAGTAGATAGACAAGGAGGGAGACAGGGGCTGTACTGAGTAGAAGAAGTGAACAGGAGGGGCAGGGGCTGTACTGGTGGATAGACAGGAGGGGCAGGGGCTGTACTAGAGTAGAAATGAACAGGAGGGGCAGGGGCTGTACTGAGTAGATAGACAGGTGGGTGGGGCAGGGGCTGTACTGAGTAGAATGAGCAGGTGGGGCAGGGGCTGTACTGAGTAGATAAACAGGTGGGGCAGGGGCTGTACTGAGTAAGTAGACAGGAGGGGCAGGGAGCTGTACTGAGTAGATAGACAGGAGGGGCAGGGGCTGTACTGGTAAATGAGACAGGAGGGGCAGGGGGCTGTACTGAGTAAATAGACAGGAGGGAGCAGGGCTGTACTGAGTAGATAGACAGGAGGGGCAGGGGGCTGTACTGAGTAGAAGTAGACAGGAGGGGCAGGGAGCTGTACTGGTAAGAGACAGATAGACAGGAGGGGCAGGGGCTGTACTGGTAGATAGAACAGGAGGGGCAGGGGCTGTACTGAGTAGAAATAGACAGGAGGGGCAGGGGCTGTACTGGTAGAAATAGACAGGAGGGGCAGGGGGGCTGTACTGGTAGAAATGGAACAGGAGGGGCAGGGGCTTGTACTGGTAAACAGACAGGTGGGGCAGGGGCTGTACTAAGGCAGGGGCTGTACTGAGTAGAAAAGAACAGGAGGGGCAGGGGCTGTACTGGTAGAAGGACTAGACAGGTGGGGCAGGGGCTGTACTGAGTAGATGAACAGGTGGGGCAGGGGCTGTACTGAGTAAGAAGTAGACAGGAGGGGCAGGGGCTGTACTGGTCAGATAGACAGGGAGGGGCAGGGGCTGTACTGAGTAGATGAAGACAGGTGGGGCAGGGGCTGTACTGGTAGATAGACAGGAGGGGCAGGGGCTGTACTGGTAAGTAGAACAGGAGGGGCAGGGGCTGTACTGAGTAAGAGTGAACAGGAGGGCAGGGGCTGTACTGGTAGAAGTAGACAGGAGGGCTAAGGGGCTGTACTGGTTGGAGTAGACAGGAGGGGCAGGGGCTGTGCTAGTGTAGATAGACAGGTGGGGCAGGGGGCTGTACTGGTGGATGAGACAGGAGGGGCAGGGGCTGTACTGAGTAAGAAGTAGACAGGAGGGGCAGGGGGAGGCTGTACTGAGTAGGTAGAACAGGAGGGGCAGGGGCTGTACTGGTAGATAGACAGGAGGGGCAGGGGCTGTACTGAGTAGAAGTGAACAGGAGGGACAGGGGCTGTACTGGTGGATACACAGTATGGGCAGGGAGTTGTACTAGGATGGGAGGGGCAGGGGCTGTACTGAGTGGATACACAGGTGGGGCAGGGAGCTGTACTGGTGTACACAGTTAGGGCAGGGGTTGAACAGGTACAGGTGGGGCAGGGGAGCTGTACTGAGTAGACAGACAGGTGGGGCAGGGGTTGTACTGGTAGATACACAGGTGGGGCAGGGGCTGTACTGGTAGATACACAGGTGGGGCAGGGGCTGTACTGGTTAACAGACAGGTGGGGCAGAGGTTGTACTGGTAGACAGACATTGTGGGGCAGGAGCTGTACTGGTAGACAGACAGGTGGGGCAGGGACTATACTGGTAGATACACAGGTGGGGCAGGAGCTGTACTGTAGACAGACAGGTGGGGCAGGAGCTGTACTGTAGACAGACAGGTGGGGCAGCGGTTGTACTGGTTAACTTTACAGGTGGGGCAGAGGTGGTACTGTTAGATACACAGCTAGGGCAGGGGCTGTACTAATAGGCAGACAGGTAGGGCAGGGGTTGTACTGGTATATTAACAGGTGGGACAGAGGCTGTACTGGTTGAGAGACAGGTGGGGCAGGGGCTGTACTGGTAGAAAGACAGGTGGGGCAGGGTTGTATTGGTAGATTAACAGGTGGGACAGAGGCTGTACTGGTTGAGAGACAGGTGGGGCAGGGGCTGTACTGGTAGAAAGACAGGTGGGGCAGGGGTTGTACTGGTAGATTAACAGGTGGGACAGGGGCTGTACTGGTAGATTAACAGGTGGCACAGGGGCTGTACTGGTAGCCAGACAGGTAGGGCAGGGGTTGTACTGGTAGATAGACAGGTAGGGCAGGGGCTGTACTGGTAGACAGACAGGTGGGGCAGGGGTTGTACTGGTAGATAATAATAATAATAATAATGTCTATTTATATTGCACTGGGTTCCATCCACAGAGGTGCATGCTCACGGCGCTACAATAGTCACAGATGAGGAGATAGTTTGTAGGGATAGAACTTTCTAAAGAGAAAGGTTTATAGGTTGGTTTTGAATGTCTCAAGGGTGGGGGATTCTTTAATGTTCTGAGGTAGTGGGTTCTATAACTGAGGTGCTGCTGCTTGAAACGATCTGTTGCCGTAGGATTTTAGTCTTGAGTTTGGTACTGCAAGTAGGCATTGGTTTTCAGACCTTAGACATCGTGAAGGCTGGTATGGTGAGATCAGTTCTGATAGATAGCTCGGTGCTGTACCATTCAAACAGTGGTAGGCAAAACAGAAGATCTTGAAGTGGATCCGGGCTTCTATTGGTAGCCAGTGTATGGACATCAATACCGGTGTTATGTGGCATCTTTTGGTGCACGACTCACAATACGAGCTGCCCTATTTGGTACCTTCTGGAGTTTGTTCAGCAGATCCTGACTCAAACCATACAACAGACTGTTGCTGTAGTCTATGCGGGACATCACAAGTTGTTGGACTAGTGTCTTTGTTACGTCTTTTGTAATAAGATGGCGGATATTACCAATACTTCTTAGATGGAAGTAGCAGGTCTGGCACACTTGATTAACTGTACACAGGTGGGACAGGGGCTGTACTGGTAGACAGACAGGTGGGGCAGGGGTTGTACTGGTAGACAGACAGATAGGGTAGGGGCTGTACTGGTAGACAGACAGGTGGGGCAGGGGTTGTACTGGTAGACAGACAGATAGGGTAGGGGCTGTACTGGTAGACAGGTGGGGCAGGGGTTGTGCTGGTAGACAGACAGGTAGAGTAGGGGCTGTACTGGTAGACAGACAGGTGGGGCAGGGGTTGTAGTGGTAGATAGACAGGTAGGGTAGGGGCTGTACTGGTAGATAGACAGGTGGGACAGGGGCTGTACTGGAAGATATACAGGTGGGGCAGGGGCTGTACTGGTAGATATACAGGTGGGGGAGGGGCTGTACTTGTACATATACAAGTGGGGCAGGGGTACTGGTAGATATACAGGTGGGGGAGGGGCTGTAGTTGTACATATACAAGTGGGGCAGGGGTACTGGTAGATATACAGGTGGGGCAGGGGATGTACATGTACATCTTTTGTCGTCTTAATTCCATCAGTAGTGAATAATTCATTACGCTGAATGTCTTCATATATATGATAGATATGTCTAACATAATCATGGTGAAATACAAAGTAATTGGCTGAATAAGTCCATGGGAGGCCACCCTATACACCTTCACCTTATACTGAGGCTCTTATGCACGTGCTCCCTGCTCCCAACCCATGCCGGTGCTGTCCATTGAAGCAATATTTATAGCACATCATGCAAATAATGTTACCTTCTTTGGTGCACGTTTCACACTTGTTTTCTTTCTGACAGTTGGCTGTTTCTGCAGCAAGGGGATAACAAACAGATTCCAATCATATCTAACAGTGAGATCTCTAAAATCAGGACTGATCTGTGTTGAGGTAAATCTAAGTCTAAATACATCTCATAAAATACAAATAATTAAATTACACTACATGACAAGGACAAAGTAGCGATAGATAAGGACAAACCTGTTTCTCTTCTTTCTTTCTTTCAACGTTTCTGAAATATATTTCAATGACGTTAAGTTAGTACAAATGTGGCAGTAGGAAAGAGGCCAACAACTGGTCTGACTGAACATTCACCATGTAATTATTACCGCAAGTAAATCTGGTAAGTTCACAGAGTAATACTGGAGAAAACTACCTACATTGTCTATCAACACATTTGATACAAAGACCAGGCATTTTCATAAACATTAACCACTGACTTGACCTTCAACTGAGATGACATCAGTGTCTGAAATAGCTAGCAACTATGCAATAAAACATCACATTGAATAAGAATGGTTGGATGTCAACTTCTTTATTGTGAATCAGGATCAGGACCAAATAAAGAAGTTGACATCCAAAAGTCTTGCTTTTCTTATTCGATATGCATTTCACTTCTAAATGTCCTTCAAAGATTTGATGATATTGAATATTCAAATATAATATAAACATACAGTATCAGTCACAACACATCCTACTTTCTCTAAGGATAGATTATATTCATTGCTAGACATCTGGAGTCAGGACAAGTCAACTCTACAACAAAAAGCCTGCCTCCAAGGACTATACTTTTGTATCACCCATATTAATAGGGTTTTTTCCATGTCAGTCACCTCTCCTAGTACCCACCTATCTCTGTGTCTGTCATCACGGTCTCGCTGCCTGTCGCCCTTCCTGGAGTCTCGCTTCTCTTCGTCCCGATCCTGGAACCATAGCATCCATATATGTCTTTTGTCAAACTATTGCATTGGAATTAAAATAGAACAAGATCATAACACACAATACATTATCCACCACAAGGTGTTGTCAGTGACACCTTTACCAAGAAATCAACCATATCATCCCTTCACTATCAGTTGATGCCAACCTACCCAATTGGCCCACCAACACTAACCCCACTCCACAAGAACGTAAACCCACCTAACAAGACCAGCCATCCGACCCAACCACACCACACCCACACTTTCCCCACAAGACCTCCCCCTCCTAGCGTGACCGTCCATTCAAACTCACACACTAACAAGACCAGCCCCATCCGCCCAACCACACCACACCCACACTTTCCCCCACAAGACCTCCCCTCCTGGCGTGACCATCCATTCACAACTCACCACACACACCACCTGCCCTTACTCTAACAAGACCAGCCCCATCCGGCCCATTCACAAGACTCACAACTCACCACACCACGACCTGCCCTTACCTAACAAGACCAGCCCCATCCGACCCAACCACACCACACCCACACTTTCCCCACAAGACCTCCCCCTCCTAGCGTGACCATCCATTCACAACTCACCACACACGACCTGCCCTTACCTAACAAGACCAGCCCCATCCGACCCAACCACACCACACCCACACTTTCCCCACAAGACCTCCCCCTCCTAGCGTGACCATCCATTCACAACTCACCACACACGACCTGCCCTTACCTAACAAGACCAGCCCCATCCGACCCAACCACCCATCCATTCACAACTCACCACACACTGCCCTTACCTAACACCAGCCCCATCCACCCAACCACACCACACCCACACTTTCCCCACAAGACCTGCCCTCCATTACCTAACAAGACCAGCCCCATCCGACGCAAACCCACCACTCGCAGCAGTGTGCGAAATAGCCACTGGCCTGCTAGCCCTTGGCTAGTAAAAATCTCCACAGTCAATGGCCCGACTGGCTAGTGCATTTCATGGGGTCATTTTGTAAATATATCACTCTCTCCGAATTGTTAGGTCATAATACACTTGTAAAATCATGCAAGATTATGGCCTGATAAAAATGTTCCTCATATAAGCAACTTAATGATGACTTATTTGAGCATAAACAAAATATTTCAGACATGTGTTTGCTTATTTTGGATGATATTTTACCTTTTTGAAATCTTTTGCATAGTTTTGACATTCAAATTTCGGGCTAGTGAATTATTTTGTGCAAGATCAACCCCCCAACAAGATTCACCTAACCCCCTCCCATAACATACCCTCCTAGATAGATCAACCCCCACCAAATTTTCCCATAACCCTCCTCCCTCCCAGCAAGATCAACCCCTAACAAGATTCACCTACCCCCTCCCATACCATCCCCTCCAGCCCCCCAACAAGATTCACCCCACCCCTCCACAAGATCAAACCCCCAACAAGATTCACCCAACCCCCTCCCACCCTCCCTCCCAGCAAGTCCCCCCAAAGATTCACCCAACCCCTCCCATACCCTCCCTCCCAGCAAGATCAACCCCCAACAAGATTCACCCACCCCTCCCCCTACCCTCCCATCTCAACAAGATTCACCCAACCCCCTCCCATACCCTCCCCCTGCCCCAACAAGGTTCACCTACCCCCCTCCCATACCCAGTGGTATTGGTGAGCCTGCTGACTTACACTCTTCTTCTCCTTTTTCTCCTTCTTCTCCCTCCGCTCCTGTCTCTGTCGCTCTCGGTCATCCTGATGGCATCAAGAAGAAACTCACAAAACCACCTATGATCTTTGTACAGCCATGGGAATTCCTGTTCTTAAGACTTCACTTCACTAAAGTTCAACGCTTTGTGCAAGGAAGTGTGTACCGGTAATCAACATGAACCTACCTCATAATGACTGATTAACGGCTTACAGAACTGGACGTCTCCACAATGCCTGGTGATAATTAGCCAAAAGGAAACCAGTCCCACACCAGTATTTTGTAATCTTACATGGGACTCTAGAGAGGACTGATTACATTACCTGACCTGTGTATCCGTATGAAGTGTTTCATAATCAATAAGCAATAGTTAAAGTTCTTGTTAAGAAACTTGTCCCCACTACAACACAGTACAAGTTTCAAGCAACAGCAGAGAAAGACTTTAAAACACTTTCCCAGCAAACCAAAGTGGCACAGAAGTCTCCTAAATAATGATGACATACCAGCAGACATAATCTATAAAAATGTTGTTGTGGTTCACCTTGAAGCTACTTCAACATGAAGCCAACCTCCCTCAAGGTAGTGAAATGAGGTATTATGTGCTGGTTACAATTATCTTACTTCTACTGTGACATAAACAGAATGTACAAATCTACGCTAAGATCTACTAAGATCTGTTTCGTAGCAGTAGTTGAACATGGATACCCAAATCAGACCCAGTATGCTAAATGCCTATAGTATAGATACAGCCACTAATATCCAATATACAAGTGAACAACTGGACCACATCTTGATCTGGAGACTTGGGCTTCTAAATGACAGGGACAGTGAGGTGAAATATATAGCGTGAACACAACACTGTGAACAAAAGACTTGCCTCTACAAGACAGGGGCCTAGATTTTCAAAGCTCTCTTAGTGCTAAGATAGTCGTAAGTTAATGTTAATGTATAGCACTTACGACTATCTTAGCGCTAAAAGAGCTTCGAAAATCTAGGCCCAGGTGTTTAACCAAGTCACATGGCCCCATAACAGGGAGTTGCTGCACTCACCGAGTCATCGCGTTTCTCCCTCCTCTTCCGGTCTCTGTCATCCTGCAACACAACGGGCCATCAGGTCAAATCAAACATTCACACTTGTCATTCTGACCATGTTCACACACAACACTGAAAGCGATCCACTACGTGGAAGTACTGAACACCCATCACTTTGTGTATTATCATCATAACACATTCCATGTATCAACCCACATCACCCCCTGTAGCAATCCTGATGCACTCACAGATGGTAGTCTGATGTCAAGACAGGTATTTAACCAAAGTCCCAAGACTAAGCGTGTCCCTATACACCCTCCCCAAGGCAGATACCCATGAAGATCTGGGTTAGAATTGGTCATCAGTAACCCATGATTGTCGTAAGAGGCAACTAACGGGATCGGTGGTCAGGCTCGCTCACTTGGTTGACACATGTCATCATATCCCTATTGCGTAGATTGATCACAGGATTGTCTGGTCCAGACTTGATTTATTTACAGACCGCTGCCATATAGCTGGAATATTGCTGAGTGTGGCATAAATCAACATGCCAAACCAACCCCCCAGGCAGCTCCTGTAATCTACAAGACAGGTATTGACAGAAGTCCCCAGACTGAACATGTTCCTACTACACCCTCCCCCAGGCAGCTCCTGTAATCTACAAGACAGGTATTGACAGAAGTCCCCAGACTGAACATGTTCCTACTCCCCAGACTGACCCCTCTACCCCAGGCAGCTCCTGTAATCTACAAGACAGGTATTGACAGAAGTCCCCAGACTGAACATGTCCCTACTACACCTTCCCCCAGGCAGCTCCTGTAATCTACAAGACAGGTATTGACAGAAGTCCCCAGACTGAACATGTTCCTACTACACCCTCCCCCAGGCAGCTCCTGTAATCTACAAGACAGGTATTGACAGAAGTCCCCAGACTGAACATGTTCCTACTACACCCTCCCCCAGGCAGCTCCTGTAATCTACAAGACAGGTATTGACAGAAGTCCCCAGACTGAACATGTTCCTACTACACCCTCTCCCCCAGGCAGCTCCTGTAATCTACAAGACAGGTATGAACATGACAGAAGTCCCCAGACTGAACATGTCCCTACTACACCCTCCCCCAGAGAGCTCCTGTAATCTACAAGACAGGTATTGACAGAAGTCCCCAGACTGAACATGTCCCTACTACACCCTCCCCCAGAGAGCTCCTGTAATCTACAAGACAGGTATTGACAGAAGTCCCCAGACTGAACATGTCCCTACTACACCCTCCCCCAGAGAGCTCCTGTAATCTACAAGACAGGTATTGACAGAAGTCCCCAGGCTGAACATGTCCCTACTACACCCTCCCCCACAGAGCTCCTGTAATCTCCACTGTATACTGTAACAATTCTGACGTACTCACATCTGCAGTTCGATGTCTGTCTTTCTCTCTACTTTCCTTCTTCCTTTTGTCTCTGTCATCCTACAGGACATAACAACATCACCAATCAACTGACAGGGAACAACTGTTAATGTTTCTATTATATTTTACAACAAAAGCCTAAACACTGCCTGACTCATAAAACACAATAAGCCTACATACACCATAAGCCTACCTACCATGCCTACCACATGCCCCAAAGTACATCATTAGCTTGTATACCACTTGGCCTATAGCACAACTTAAGCCTGTATAGTGTCTGGATCATAGCACATCTTAAGCCTGTATAGTGTCTGGTTCATAACACAACTTAAGCCTGTATAGTGTCTGGATCATAGCACAACTTAAGCCTGTATAGTGTCTGGTTCATAACACAACTTAAGCCTGTAAAATGGCCGGCTCATAACACAACTTAAGCTTGTACTGTGTCTGGCTCATGACACAACTTAAGCCTGTATAGTGTCTGGCTCATAACACAGCTTAAGCCTATATAGTGTTTGGCTCATAACACAATTTAAGCCTGTATAGTGTCTGGCTCATCACACAATTTAAGCCTGTATAGTGTCCGGCTCATCACACAATTTAAGCCTGTATAGTGTCTGGCTCATCACACAATTTAAGCCTATATAGTGTTTGGCTCATAACACAATTTAAGCCTGTGTAGTGTCTGGCTCACAACACAATTTAAGCCTGTATAGTGTCTGGCTCATACTCCTACCTCATCCCTGTGTCGTCGTCTGTTGTCATTCTCATCACGTCCATGTTTACGGTCATCATCCCTGCGTCGCCGCTCTTTGTCATCATCACGCCGTTTTCGCCTGTCATCATCCCGGTCACGATGACGGTCCCTGTCATCATCTCTATGTCTGCGTTTCTCATCATCCCTGTCACGGTGACGTCGCCGTATCTCATCGTCATCTTCTATCACAGGAGCATCTCGTTTCTTCTCCTTTTTTTCCTGATGGATATATACATCCTAATTTGTATAAATGTGCTGAAACAATCATGCCGCATTATGTTGCCTACATTAAGGATGATTAATAGAGAGAAGCAAAGTTGCCCCCGCTGATCCCAATAACAGGTAAGGGAAGCAACTCTCCGCAGGCCATCACAGCCCCTTTGATCACAGGGCTTACACTTGATAAACACACCTCTCTCAGACAATATCTTGATGTATTTAACATGTCCTGATGCGTATTTCCTCTAGTGTATGATACATATGATTTTACTGAGCAAATTCTCACATCTGGTAATAACTTACAGGTTTGGATGGATCTTTCTTTTCTCTCCGTTCTCTCCGTTCCCGCCTCTGTCTTTCTCTCTCGTCCTGAAACATAGCGATACAGTATCCATGGTAACAAAATCAGCAAAAAAGTATCCATCCACCATTTCTTATGTAAACAGACACTTATATATTGTCATCTACAACTTAATAAAATCACATATGCAGGACAGGAAAGATCTAAAAGTCTGCAGATCTACAAACATGCAGAGTGTATACCATGCACAGAGGAACATGTGAAACAAAACATTAACACAAGAATTAGTGAAATTCACAACCTCCTTGTCTGGCAATAACCTTAAGTCAGACTTGAGAATCTGGAAGCAGTTTTAATAATGAATGAACAGAGAGGATAGGAATGTTACCTCTGTCAGATTTATCCTTTCAGAATCATCTTGCCTATGGCGTCGCTTATCCTCCTGGAATAGCAAAGTTTCCTTAAGCAACATGCATGCTACCAGTGACTCCAACACACACAGCCTGTCAGACAGTGACATCAACAGGCATGCTACCAGTGACTCCAACACACACAGCCTGTCAGTGACATCAACAGGACTTGTGACATCCCAACAGGCATGCTGTCACTCCAACACACAGCCTGTCAGACAGTGACATCAACAGGCATGCTACCAGTGACTCCAACACACACAGCCTCAGCTACCAGTGACATCATGAACACACACAGCCTGTCAGACAGGTGACATCAACGGGCATGCTACCAGTGACTCCACCAGTGACTCAACGGGCATGCTACTAGTGACACACACAGCCTATCAGTGACATCAACAGGCATGCTACCAGTGACTCCAACACACACAGCAACTCTGTCAGTGACATCAACAGGCATGCTACCAGTGACTCCAACACACAGCCTGTCGGACATCAACAGGCATGCTACCAGTGACAGTCAGTGACATCAACATGCATGCTACCAGTGACTCCACCAGTGACTCAACAACACTCCAACACACACAGCCTGTCAGTGACAACAACAGGCATGCTACCAGTGACCCCAACACACACAGCCAGTCAGTCACACAACATGCATGCCAGTCAGTGTCAGTGACATCAACATGCATGCTACCAGTGACCCCAACACCACAGCCTGTCAGTCAGTGACATCAACAGGCATGCTAACCAGTGCATACTACCAGTGAACACCACAGCCTGTCAGTGACAACAACAGGCATGCTACCAGTGACCCCAACACACACAGCCTGTCAGTCAGTGACAACAACAGGCATGCTACTAGCAACAAGCCCCTGACACAGATCACAACTTACAGTCCAGTGTCACATAATTACAACATCTACCTCATTATGACATGTAATCAAATGACACAGGCCTAATACAGGAAACAATAAGTCAAAACAAATGTGGCAAAATTTAAACAAATAACAGAAAGTGGTAACTAAAATCTGAATTGTTGAACAAAATCAGAAGTGCAGGAAATCAGAAATGTTTGATGACCAGGCCCCGATTTCTCGAAACAAGCTTAAGTTTTTACTCAAATTTCAAACTGAGTTGGACAATTTGAAACAGATGAATTTTTAACTCAACTGCATGTTTTAAATAAAAAAGCCCAAACAACGTAAGTAATCTATCCACCAAACTCAAATTGTCTACTATGTTTGAGTTTAATATCAATTTTAGTTCATTCTGGGAAATGCATTTTCTCAAATTTGAGTAAAAACTCTAACTTAAGTCGAAACTCAGACTTAAGTTTGTTTCGAGAAATCGGGGCCAGGATGTGCTGTATGCTGCCTGCAGGGTCCAATGCATGTTTCTGTACTTTGCAGTTAAAATACATCACCTTTATCACATTTTTAATATATTTTACATCAAATAACAGAAATACAGTAAATAGTTAATTCATCACCTTTGCAAGACAAACTACATGTATACTCACACTGCCATCTCGATGATGCTTTCTCTCTTCATCCTTGGGTCTGCGCCTCTCTTTCCGATCTGCAAAATAAAATTTCATGGAGGACCACATTTCATTTGGATGATGTAAAATGTCACAGCTAAAAGAGTCAGGTTTAACATCACTTTGATCAGTTTTCCAGTTACGATATGTCATATGGGAGGGAAAACCCAAGTGATGCAGGTTGCAGATATATACCACTTCAGCAAAATCCATTTACATACATATTGTGCTGATGAACCTACAAAGTCATTGCAGACTGGGATTTGAACCCAGGATCATAGATTAGTGGATTGTCCAAGGGACACAACTGTGCACAGTAAATTGTGGTGCATCAGACAGCTGGGCTGCACGTTCCCCTGTGTCAGCAGGAGAGTCTGCCCTTCACCATGTTCAGTGCAGGTTCTACACCATATCGGTATCATTGCACCTGTATGTACATGTACACAGTCAACAAACATTTTGTGTACTAGCTTCACAGGTTTTCTTCCAAGCAAATACAGTAAATATGATATAAAGGTTGAGTTCTCATTTAATACTATAAAGATACGATTTATAAAGATAATAATGAGAAATTACAACATTGTTGGGGAAATATATATCACATAAAAGCCAGCTACTCTGCTTTCCTGAAAGTACTGATTTAATGTTTCCTCATTTTTTTCACTGAAAATCAATAAAATAAGACACTAGTATTCTGTGTCATTGACATGATACATGTAAATCTGTCTTGGAAACAGCTACTCTGCCTGGTCCATCATTTTCACCTTCATCATCTCTGTGGCGTCTCTCCTCCCCATCGCGACGATGTCGCTTCCTTTCAAGGTCATCTCGAGAGCCCTACAAACAGGAATCTTTTGAAATGAAATCTTGTTACTATAGTTACTATAAGTATAATACAGGATGAGGAGGAAGAGGCACAATCCTGAATTGCACTCCAGTCTAATCTAAAGCATCATGCCCTCACAGCCAGATCATATCTGGCAGGCATTTGAATACCTGCATGAAAGAAGGGCAAAAAGTATGGTGCAAGGTATTTGATGTGGTTAAAATTTAACAATTATTTCGTGTTTATTGATCTGACTTTCTGAAAGGACATTTCCAAAGTGCTGTACAAAAATACCAGCAGTATAAACCATATCTGGGCAAAAGCCCACATGCCCATTGAAATAGAATAAAAAACAAGTTCCTGGTTGTAAACCCATCTTTATTACTCTGGACAGTCTGCACCTTCAACCGTCACAGTCTAGTAACATTTGCTCTAGTAAGCCCAGTTTTATAAAACCTGTAAACATTGCACAAACACCAAAGTCAGACTGAAAATGGGCACCAGTATGTGAAGCATGATATAGTATGACCAGAAATTATTGAGAATTTGTGGAATATGTTTAATTTAATTTCTAGTATAAACAACCTTGACCAGCTATCAAGTGCTTGGTTTCATTCAAGATAGACAACTCCGTTAATCCTTTTTCATTAGTTTGAGGAAGAGTTATCTCCCTTTGTTTACTTGCTAGCAGACGACATTTTCAGTGATCAGTATGGATGATTTAGAGAAGAGGAAGTTGATTTTAGAGTATTATAACAAGGACATCAGATCAGTTAAAGTGATTTCAAGTAGAACAGGCATCCCTTTGTCTACTGTTTATCGTGTTTTGAAAAATATTGCAAATGGATATGGCATTGAGCACCAGGGAGGCGCAGGTAGGCCCAGAAAATTGACTGTTGGTGACAGGAGGCGGCTTGGTATTCTTGTTTCTTAAAACAAACGAAGGAGTTTAGAAAACTTAAGGCTGGATATGATTGATAGAGGAACTGTGGCTGTCTGTAAGGAGACAATTAGAACTGAGCTGCATGCAATGGTTTGGCAGAAATGTCAAGGAATTCTCACCGATCATGAAACCTGAACATAAGGAGCGAAGGTTGAACTGGTGCTTACAGCATAGAAAGTTTAACTGGGACAATTTACTTCCATCTGCTCACGTGTTCTATGGAAACTTTTGGATTTTCCAGCAGGACAACGACCCAAAACATCGTTCAAAGCATTCACAGGCCTGCTTTCGGACCCAAAATATGACATTATTAGATTGGCCAAGCTATAGCCCTGACCTAAATCCAATAGAAAATGTTTGGGGACTTATGAAGGAAAGTGTCAATAAGAAAAATCTGACAAATATTACTGAAATGAAAGAAGAGGTGGTCCGATAGTGGGACAGCATGGACCACGACTTTCTAACTTCTTTGATCAGTAGTATGCCCCGCCGCATTGAAGCCTGCATTGCTGCCCATGGTGACTTGACAAAATACTAACTGTTCACCTGTCTTTGAATCTGGAGTTACGTTCAGCTAATATTCACATTTAATACGTGAGTAATGAGTGAAAAAAATGAAAAAATTACAATCTTTAAATTCTCAATAATTTCTGGATGTACTGTATAATTAGATATAATTAGATAATGTGCAGTGACGTCAGTGGAAACATGAGTAGATGTGTATCTTCCAGACCAATGCTCAGTAATTAAATTCTCTACAGACATGTAGTGAATTTTATGTTGACTCGACATACCCAGAACAGCTACATATTTACAGAAAAATGAAAAATGACACATTATCTTGTGAACTAAATCTCTCTTTCTGATACTGCATATTACCAGGTAGACCCCAACTCCAGGTGTAGCCATCCCCTTACATTACCTGACCTTTCTCGTTTGAATAGAACTCCAACAAACATAACAGTCAAGATACTTTCTGTAAGGAACTTCCTAGTTGGAACACAGAATTTTGTCAGTATATTCCAAATGTTGCTCCTCACAGGACAAAGATATATTACAACAAAACCAAACTATTCTTGACTTTGTATTAGCATAAAAGAAACTCAGCTGCTACCTTTAAAGCTCTATTAAGCTCATCTGTGGTCCAAGTGTCGTCCTTACGACGATTCTGAAAGATTAATCAAACATTTGCTGAAGAAAATTCAAAGCTGAGCAAAAATCTCTTCTGCATGTTTACCACGTTGGCAAAACATGTGTTTGTAAAACGTGAGTATTAAGTGCAAGTAACAAATGGAAAGGCAAGCAACATTATTACCATGGTTACACTGCCTCCTAAACAGTGGTCCATTCTAAAGAAGGAAGTGATGGCACTACCTTTTCTCTGTGGCAACAACAATTTATTTGAATGTCCTCAGAGACAAATCTTTTACAACAAATAGGGCAATAAATAATAGTAAGAATTCCCAAATTGTTATCCTAAGTCCAGAAAGGAATCCCTCGTGCAAACTAAAATATCCCAACATCTTCATCAACCAATACATTCAACTTCAGTAGCCTTTAAATTAGTGTTGACAATATAGCCTTACAACAAAACATGTACGTTATGGTCACAGAATTGTAGCAGTTACATTGTGGAATTTTCGCCCTGCTGACATCAAGCTGTCTCCCTCCAAGGCTTCTTTCAAAAAATCTCTTCAGTACTTCTGTTCTAATTACAATCAATGCATAGTGTTTGCTGTGTATATCTGACAGGGCATTGGGTCATCCTAAAGATGACATCTTTACCTTGTCAGCCTAACCTCCTAATCTCTTTGGTCGAATGGACAAAGTATCCAACCTCAGATCAGGACTGATCTCACACACACACACACACGCACACACACACACTGCACGCACGCACACACACACCACCAGGGATTTACATGGAGTCCTGTATTTGAGGGTCCCTGGGACTCATACCCTTAATTTTCAGGAGTCCTGGACAACAAAATGGGGGTCCCAGACACTTAAATATTATTATCAATACTGTTATAGTATTGTGTATCATGATCATCACATTGTTACAGTAAGTAAGGTGCAAACAATACCATAACCCAGCTAGTAGCAAACTCAGTGATAACTTATTGTCATTTGATTGGAATTTTTACAAAAAGTATTTGGACTTTTTCTGAGTCCCTGTGGACGCTCTAATAAATTTTGTTGCGTCCATTGTCAATTTTTATGCGTATAGGACGCAGGAATTCGTGTCTTGTAAATCCCTGCACCACCCTCTTTTCCGAGAAGAGACCTTATCAGGTTACTGACAGGATTAACCTCTTCGATAAATGCAGCAAAAATGGTTTAGGGTTCCTGGCACAGTTAGGTCCGTTAGGATCATCATCATCAGCTCCGGGGCCTTGGCCTCAAATGGCAGCCCAGGCAGCTAATGGGACTTTATCCAACGAGAACTTTTCTGAAAATATGGATACTATCCAAGACTGCAGTTGACTGCATTACACAGAGTCAAAATGGATGTAATCTCCAGAGGGCAGTCAGCAGTTTGAGAGGTACCAATCTAAGCCACCAAGAATAATACAGAGTTGGAATTTTGTTTAATTATTATTACCCTGTAATATATCCTAAAGCGAGCTGAATTTGACGTTCTGGTGATTTCGAAGATTGCATTGCCGACGCTATATCAGGGGAGTACGTGCACGATCGGAGTGCACGAGCAGTTTCATCGGTAGGGCGGGTGCCCAGTCGCTGTCTTGAGAATTTTTTGGCAATGGAAATCCGAAAGTTAATTTATATAAAAAGCAAACAAACATCAATATTATTTACTCAAGATCGTTAATACCACTTCAGATGCAAAATCAATTGCCTATATATAACAAAAAATAGCAAGCCAAATTTCAGTAAGATCAGTCGGCTGCTGGTGACAGGCAATAAATAGATAGGAAGCCACGTGATCACAACACTCCCTCACAGTGCGAAGCAAAGTATGACTCATTGGCAAAAATCCATACAAAAGACTCGGATGTGGAAAGCGGCAACAGTTTCGCCGATACAATGTCATGAACACTATTTTCGTAGGGAACACTTGATATTTTGTGTGAAATAGATGAATATATCCTTTATCAGTCAAGGTTAGTAAATAAAAACTTTAAGTGATATTAAGATAAAAAATACGTTTTTGTCTTACATCGTCGAAAACCCTGACACCGGGTTTGATATTAAATAAAAGTTGATGAACACTGGATTCTATAGATTACTTTAGTACATAAGCATGGTATGACAGATTAACTGACTGACTGACTGACTGAGTTTAGTTTTACGCCGCTTTTAGCAATATTCCAGCAATATCACGGCGGGGACACCAGAAATGGGCTTAACACATTGTGCCCATGTGGGGAATCGAACCCGGGTCTTTGGCGTGACGAGCCAACGCTTTAACCACTAGGCTACCCCACCGCCCCACAGATTAACCAAGTATTGAGACAGAATCGAGAGTTCTATCACTGTTTTGAGTTGTGTGTGTATATATCATCTGGTAGGACTAGATCTAAGATCAATTGCATGTCTATCTTGGCTACCGACGATAACCGTTTCGATTACAACCTGACGAACACAAATCCTTCACAGATATGATCATAAAAGTATTCGGACTTATTTTACACATGGTTATGGGTAGAATCGAGTTGAATATCCAGTTTCAATTTCATGTCTGAGGATATTTAGGGAGCGTCAATGTAGACACGACGCCGGTTCATAAACCCACTGCTGTCAAGTCAACAACTTTGAACAAGAAATCGGTTTTCGTTACAACTGTATCCACTTATCTTCAAGGTAATACTAACAGTTCTAAACGTTTCCAAAACCTGAAAACGGCTCACCCTTTCTGATGGCATATTAGGTATCCGCCGTTATCCCTTATCGAACATCTGAATTTGACAGCAAAGGTTTATTTTCTGATCACCAACGCCGCCATTTTCAAGCGCTCAGGTATGTCCGTAAATCGTTCTTTATCGTTTTACGACAAACAAATATCTGTATGTCATAGAATAAGAATTAGATTATTTTCCCGTTATCATCAACATATAGTGATACTATTTTGAGACTTTTGTCCCTAACCTATGGCGTATATGTTTTTTAAAAACGTTGATATTTTACGACAATCAAGAGTTATCTCCCATTCCATCAGGTGCACAAGAAAGTTTGAAGGTTATTGTTACTGGTTCGAATCAACCTTAATTACCAATACGTTTTGTTCGCATTTTCTGGTACATTTGCAAGTGTTTTATTCCTGTCTTTGTCTTCGTGGAGTTTCATCAAGAACATTTTGAGAGATATATCGTCAGGGGAGACAAAAGAAGGGATCTGTTATTTGGCGGTAAAATGTTATATATTTTCTTTTAAAAACTTAAAGAACAAATGGTCAATACAATTTCAGTATGGTGTTCTTCCAGTAAAAAAAACTTTATTACTAAAACCCATTTATTCAATATATAAGAGGCAAGCCGATATTTCTATAGCAGTACGTTTGTAAATAGTATATTGTTAGATTTTAATCATCATAGTAAACTTATATGAAGTAAATTAATAACCTAAACCTAAATATTTAATAACCTAAGCCTAGATATTTAAACTTTACTTTCCTTAAATACTTGTGTTAACTTCAGCACTTGCACAAATCTACTAACTCATAGGTAAGCTGGGATAGTTCAGCCTTTTCATTGTATATAGGTTCATGGGTATTGTCACTCGGGCAGTCACAGGCTTGGCCTGTGATTAGGGTTTTATTGTTCTCTGGGGCCACATGATTGTTTTAGTCATGTGGAGTGACTACTTCAAACTTTTGCTGGTCAGTCAGCCTATTTCTCCTTTCTGCCAGTGAGCACATTCTCTGCACAAGATCACATAGGGTAAGTTCATTTATCACTGTATCTGGCATCTTAGGTTTGGTTATTATGTATTTTAAGCATTGTTATATATATGTAGTATTTTAGCTAGTAGTGTATTATATGGTAAGGTAGGTTTAATTCAACTTACTTGTGTATTCAACAGAGGTATATGCCAAGTTTATTTCATAGGATATATATATGTACATTTTGTATGTGTAAACGGGTTAGAAGTATTCTATGTATCATGTATGTATGTATATTATTTTGGGAATGTATAATGTATTCTGTACATGCTAACGTAAGTGTACCATAACTATTATCCTATATTTATATAGTATATTTATTTGTGCAGGGCTTATCACTGTACATCGATCACTCATTCCAGCCTGCGTCCCTGAGACGAGGTAATATATTTATGTTCAATTGCATGTGCATGATCTTTATATAAAGTGTAATATGTTTTATCTAAAGGGATTTGTAAAGTATACAGAAATGAACTGTAAATCTTAAAAGTGTTATAAGTAATATCGTTATCTTGTGTCTATGTACTGCCATGATGTTTATGATTGAATAATGTACGTTTTAGGGCAGATCTGGGCTTCCATTTGTCCGAATAAATCCCTCGAACCACTACAAGTACTCCCTTGTTTCTTGAGATGACATGGGTACCGCTGTTACAATGGCATCCCTGGTGGGATTTGGATTTCGAATGGAGCCAGAGGATGTGAGAGGAACATCATAAGAATCCCGTGCAGTGACAGTGTATGAAGCCACCCCCGACAGAAAGTAAATATGTGTAACTATGTGCATATGATCTCTTCTTACTTGTGATCAGAGACACTTCAGTCTGAATACAGACTATTGACACTGGACTCTCTCAGTAACTGCAGCTGTATTTCATAAGATCTTTTATTCTTTGGTACCATAATTGTATAACAGACATGTTTCTTTCACCCACATTGTTATGTCAGTTTGACCTTGGCCATGTATATTTGGTAGCAATATTGAGCTCTGCTGCTGTTGTTGTACCTACTTAGTATTATGGTCCCTCAGTTTAGTTTATGTTAGTTAGTTTAGTTTAGTTAGTTTTTGAAGTCTGCTTAGTTTAATCATATTAGCGTAGTTATTCATTATTTAGTTTAATCTTTAGCATTGTTTGCACTAAAGTAGACATTGTGTTAGGTTGTGTTGTCTCTTAGTAGTATATTACGTTGATCATTAGTATATTACTATACATTAAGTAGGTTTGCACTTCACTTCTTTCGCACACCTGTCCTATCTGGGGGTTGTTGTGTTTATTTGAGGTCATGTGCGTTAGTTGTATCGGCACACCTGAGTATGGCTTACAGTGCAGTTGTCAGGTAAAGGTTACTAACCCACAACTCTCGTTGGCTAAACTAATTTTGCAAAATAACTAAACCTAAACTATAACTTACATAAACTTGATAGTTGATAAAGCCAAACCTAAACCTTTAGTTGCATATTGCATTACTTTAATGTTTATTATGCATCATTTCTCCATGTAAGACTTGAAAGTTTTACATGTACTCATCTACATTTTCACCTTTTGCGCCTGGTCGAATTCATGTTATGTAGTCATTTCTGGTAATGCCTCAGCTGGCATTGCATTTACTTCTCACTCAATCGTAATTGTACCATTGCATTATCATCATGTCCCAGTTATCATCTGATGAGTTAGCTGCTTTCCTTGCGGGGTTTGAGAAGCTAGGAGTTACACCAAAAGGAAAGACTGAGGAAGAACTCAAGGATTGGGTGGCAGGTATGGTGGCAATACAGGAGTTGCAGGGCGCTACTGGAAGTTCACAGGTTAAATCTGAGGAGTCAGAGCATCATGCAATTCCACCAACCCAAAGCTTGCCCAGTTCGGTTAGTTTTAAACAAGCGCCTCGCTTTTCATGTTTTTCTTGTGACCCAACAGCTAAGGGTGAAATTTCATTTGACGTGTGGTACTATGAGGTGGAAAGCTTTATTTGCAGTAAGACTCATCCTGAAGCTGAGATCTTACAGGCACTCAGGAGAGCACTCAGAGGTGAAGCTGCCCGTGTCATAATGAGGTTAGGTCACACTGCTTCACTCACCTCAGACCTTAATAAATTGAAGAGTGTATTTAGTTCATCAGTCCTGGAGCAAGGTGAAGTCCTTATGGCCCAGTTTTATGGTGCACGCCAAGGGGAAAAGGAGGATGCTACTGCATGGGGTTGCAGACTGGAGGACATGTTAGACAGGCTTGTCTTACAAGGTTTCATACAGCAGGATAGATCAAGCTCTGTACTCAGGACAGTCTTCTGGTCAGGACTCAGACAGGAACTGAAGGACTCAACAGGACACAAATTCGACAATATACAGGATTTCGACCAGCTTCGAGTTGCTATAAGGAGAATAGAATATGACCAGGAACAAAGGAGACTGGAATTACAAAAGAAACCCGTACCAGCCAAGGTTATGACTCCAGTTCAACCAACATCTGAAGTATCAATGTTGATGGGTGTTATTGACAAGTTGTCATCCAAGATTGATAATCTGGAGGCAAGGATGGATCAGTTCACTCCTACCTTTTCCCAGGCACAGAAGAAAGGACAATATCGTCTTCATGATAGTGCAGCACAGCTACCTCATGATTTTGAAATAGTCTGGTGTCCAGTGCTATAGATGTGGACAATATGGTCACCTTATGAGAGGATGCCGCGTCAACGTAGACCATATGAAGCGTGGATCTTTAAATGGCAGAGGACCAATGTCAAGGGGCAGACATTAGGTTCTTTCAGACAGAGCCCTTCTGAAATCATCCATTCCAATATACCAGCCAGATTGATTGGAGAAGCTAATAAGTCAACTGTCATTATCAATGGTATTTCACATAAGGCCCTCTTAGATACAGGATCATCAGTGTCAACTATCCCGGAAAGTTTTCACAAGGAATTTTTATCGTCTGCTGAGATTAAGGGCTTAGGTGATTTCATTCATATTGAATGTGCTGATGGAGAGACATTGCCTTATATGGGATATGTGGAAGTTCCAGTCGAAACTAGTGGGTTATCGCCATGTCTCAAAAGTAATTGCTTATTTTTAGTCGTCCCAGACAGTGAGTACAACAGGAGTGTGCCTGTTTTACTGGGGACTAATTACCTTATACCTGCTCTTGAGAGTTGCAGGGAGGCAACCGGACCTAACTTTCTTCAAGTAAGCAAAATGCCCACGCCTTGGTATCTTGCATTTAGGAGTATCATACTGCAGGATAAGGAACTTAGAAGGAAGGATGGGACCCTGGGACTTATGCGTAGTTGTGAGGCGTCGAAAGTAGTTGTACCTCCTAACAGGACCGTTACAGTCAAGTGTTCCCTCTACAAGGAACTGCCTTACAGAGAAAGTTGTGTTATGCTTCATCCAGCCAAGAAGCCATCTATATCATCAGGGCTCGAGATAACCCCTGCGTTATTTCGTTTCCAGTACAGGAGATCAGTACAAGTTCCTGTTCAGTTGTCAAACCTTACCAACCAGACTATAGTCGTTTCTCCTAGGGCAATCATCTGCGAGATACAGTCTGTCCAGATTGAGAAAGTTGCACCCATCAACTTGGAACAGATTGCTACTGAAGTAAACCAGCACCCACTGGACAAGGTGAATATATTATCTCCAAAGGTTACTGAGGAACAGAGGAAGCTGGGTGAAGAGCTAATCCAGAAATACAGTGATGTGTTTTCTACAGGAGATTTAGATGTTGGCCACTATACTGATGTGAAACATCGGATTGAATTGACAGACCCTACACCATTCAAGGAAAGACATCGACGCATACCATCATCAATGCTTCAGGAAGTGAAGGACCATCTCCAACAGTTACTTGCGTGTGGAATCATAAGACGTTCTCATAGCCCATGGGCTTCTAATGTAGTCCTTGTACTCAAGGTTGACAAGTCTTTACGCCTATGTATAGATTTCCGATCGCTGAACCGTCATTGCTGTTAAAGACGCACTATATGCTTTACCACGTGTAGAAATCTTTGATAGACTGGCAGGATCCAAATTTTTCACAGTTATGGACATGAAGTCTGGCTACCATCAAATAGAAATAGAGGAAG